AAAGACTGAAACAATCCTGCTTTTTCGGCGACGAAGGTCCCCCTGGAAGACGGCGCCGATCTCAGACATTGTTCGGGACCGGGAGGGCGGGGGGAACATGGGAGATAATAATGTTGGCATTTCATGAAAACGCCTCTCAATCCTTGAGGGAGGGAGAGGAGCGTGTTTTAATCTCTGTGTTTCAAGCCTTTTTATTTGTTACGGCAGTAATTGATTCTCAGAGGAAACACAGGCTGGGAGCCAAAGGTTTTGCCGATGCTGTTGAAGCCGTCTCTTCCCCATCTCTGGGAGGCTCTCAGTTAACTGGGACTCTCAAGAAACCGGGGATAATGCAGGCAGCATTCACAAAGCCAAAGGCTTTGCAAAAGTACACCTCCCAGGATTAAGTATCCCTTGGAGATATAGGAATTGTATTCTGTATTGATTTATATCCTGCTTTTCACAAATGGGACTCAAAAAGCAGTATTTAAACAACTCACTCCCCAGAGCTTTATGAGGCTTGAATGAAAAGTAATGCCTCCACCTTCGTAACTCCTCAACAGATGGCAGTACTGGTATGTGGCAGGTACTAGCTTGTTCAGTAGACTCTCCTCTACAGTTCCATTTTGGCAGGAAGCCTTAGCATTGAATGGTTGTGTTGCTAAAGTGCAAAGTATGGTACCCTGCACAGATGGTCGGTCAATGCGACCTAAGCAATATGCAGTCATTGAATTCTTGACAGCAGTAGGTGTCACCTCAACATCTTTAAACTTACTTGCCCAATGAAGCACAGTACTCACATCAACACAATCACCATAAACAGCTTGCATTCTCTGATGAATCTCCTTTGGGGTGACACCTTCTGCTGTCAAGAATTCAATAACTGCACGTTGCTTAAGTCGCATTGACACGACCGTCCTTGCAGGGTTCCATACTTTGCACTTCATCTATTCCATCATCAACTGTTCAAGGCTAAGGCTTCCCACCAAAATGGAACTGTAGAGGAGAGTCTACTGAACAAGCCAGTACCTGCCGCATGCGTTGCTTAATTCGCAATGACTGACCGTCTGCACAGGGTTCCATACTTTGCACTTTAACAACATAACCGTTCAATGCTAAGATTTCTCGCCAAAGCGGAACTGTAGAGGAGAGTCTACTGAATAAGCCAGTACCTGCCACATACATTGCTTAAGTCACATTGACCGACCGTCTGTGCAGGGTTCCATACTTTGCATTTTAACAACACAACTGTTTAATACTAAGGCTTCCCGCTGAAATTGAACTGTAGAGGAGAGTCTACTGAACAAGCCAGTACCTGCCACATGCGTTGCTTAAGTCGCATTGACTGACTGTCTGCGCAGGGTTCCATACTTCGCACTTTAACAACACAACCGTTCAATGCTAAGGCTTACTGCCAAAATTGAACTGTAGAGGAGAGTCTACTGAACAAGCCAGTACCTGCCACATGCGTTGCTTAAGTCGCATTGACTGACTGTCTGCGCAGGGTTTGATACTATGCACTTTAATAACACAACTGTTCAATGCTAAGGCTTCCCGCCAAAATGGAACTGTAGAGGAGAGTCTACTGAACAAGCCAGCACCTGCTGCATACCAGTACTGCCATCTGTTGAGGAGTAACGAAGGTGGAGGCATTACTTTTCATTCAACCCTCATACATTGAGATTTTGCTTTGCCAGGTTGCTTGTGTTGAGGCGGGAGGGGGAACACGCATCCTTCATTGCTGCTTCCAGTGTATTGAAGGCTGTTATGAAGAAGAAACATGTCCTTTTTATAAGCTCTGTGCAGTTCCTTACAAATACATCCTGCGGAAAACACGCTAAAGTCTTGGGGTCTGCGGAGGAGCCGCTCAGGGTGACAAATGCTGAACTGCATCCCGTCGCTCTCATTGGATTAAGGGGAATTCTCCCCGCAAAAACGTGACTCCCGCTCGACTTGTGCATTATTGCTTCAGCAGCTTTCCTTGGATCAAGCTGGGTTTGAGAAATGACATTTGAGGCTGACAGATTTGCCAATATTTTGTGCATATGTGATGCACGCGCACACACTATTTCCTTAACCCACATGCACTAGGAATTTACTGCTGTGTTCTGTTTTGTTGCAGATTCCACCCCTAGAACTAGATATGCAAGGTTGGCAACCTCCAGCTTTTGTACATTCTATATACGTCTGTGTATATATTTAGTTTTTCGCTGGTTGCTACAGATTTAGCGATGAATGGAGGAGATGTTGTGTTTCTATTTTGACGTGTTTTCAATGTGTTTTTAAAGCTGCTTTTAATCTGTGTGTCTTTTAAATAGAATGCCAGTCTCGCGGTTTTTTAATCTAAGCTGGCTCTCCGTATCCGCGGATTCTACACCCACTGCTTGAATACAGTGTTCCCTCTTGCTGTGTTTTAATCTGTGCTGGCTCTCCGTATCTGCGGATTCTACATCCACGGCTTGAATACAGTGTTCCCTCTCGCTGTGTTTTGATCTGTGCTGGCTCTCCGTATCCGCGGATTCTACATCCACGGCTTGAATACAGTGTTCTCTCTCGCTGTGTTTTGATCTGTGCTGGCTCTCCGTATCCACGGATTCTACATCCACGGCTTAAATACAGTGTTCCCTCTCGCTGTGTTTTAATCTGTGCTGGCTCTCCGTATCCGCGGATTCTACATCCACGGCTTGAATACAGTGTTCCCTCTTGCTGTGTTTTAATCTGTACTGGCTCTCCGTATCCGTGGATTCTACATCCATGGCTTGAATACAGTGTTCCCTCTCGCTGTGTTTTAATCTGTGCTGGCTCTCTGTATCCGCGGATTCTACATCCACAGCTTGAATACAGTGTTCCCTTTCGCTGTGTTTTAATCTAAGCTGGCTCTCCGTATCCGCGGATTCTACATCCACGGCTTGAATACAGTGTTCCCTCTCGCTGTGTTTTAATCTGTGCTGGCTCTCCGTATCCGCGGATTCTACATCCACGGCTTGAATACAGTGTTCCCTCTCGCTGTGTTTTAATCTGTGCTGGCTCTCCGTATCCACGGATTCTACATCCACGGCTTGAATACAGTGTTCCCTCTCGCTGTGTTTTAATCTGTGCTGGCTCTCTGTATCCGCGGATTCTACATCCACGGCTTGAATACAGTGTTCCCTCTCGCTGTGTTTTAATCTGTGCTGGCTCTCCGTATCCGCGGATTCTACATCCACGGCTTGAATACAGTGTTCCCTCTCGCTGTGTTTTAATCTGTGCTGGCTCTCCGTATCCGCGGATTCTACATCCACGGCTTGAATACAGTGTTCCCTCTCGCTGTGTTTTAATCTGTGCTGGCTCTCTGTATCCGCGGATTCTACATCCACGGCTTGAATACAGTGTTCCCTCTCGCTGTGTTTTAATCTGTGCTGGCTCTCCGTATCCGCGGATTCTACATCCACGGCTTGAATACAGTGTTCCCTCTCGCTGTGTTTTAATCTGTGCTGGCTCTCCATATCCGCGGATTCTACATCCACGGCTTGAATACAGTGTTCCCTCTCGCAGTGTTTTAATCTGTGCTGGCTCTCCGTATCCGTGGATTCTACGTCCACGGCTTGAATACAGTGTTCCCTCACTACTTCGTGGTTTGCTTTTTGCGGACTCGCTGTTTCGCGGGTTTTTGCCTCCCAGTTTATGAATGGTTGCTGTTGCCCAGAGCGGCGTTCTAATCCCGCCTCCTGGCAATGATGGAGTGTGGAAGGGGGTTTCACTCCTCCCCCCCCCCCAGGAGAGAGGCAGCCAATGAAGAGAGATTGCAAAGCAAATCAGAGATAGCTAGCAAAAATAAAGTTGTGAGGTGCCTTTAAATCTCTCCTCGCTTCTGCCTCACCCTTGGAATGTGGTCAATATCTATATCTATATAAATGCTCTGTGCGTAATGAGTACCTTAAAAACAAAAGAACCAATGAACGAAATCACACCAAATTTGGCAACAAAACGTCTCACAACACAAGGAGTGACAATCACTCAAAAATTATGATTTTGTCATTTGGGAGTTGTAGTTGCTGGGATTTATAGTTCACCTACAATCAAAGAGCATTCTGAACTCCATCAACGATGGAATTGAACCAAACTTGGCACACGGAACTCCCATGACCAACAGAAAAGGCTAGAAGGGTTTGGTGGGCATTGACCTTGAGTTTGGGAGTTGTAGTTCACTTACATCCAGAGAGCACTGTGGACTCAAACAATGATGGATCTTGGCCAAACTTGGCACAAATATTCCATATGCCCAAATATTAACACAGATGGAGTTTGGAGGGAATAGACCTTGACATTTGGGAGTTGTAGTTACTGGGGTTTATAGTTCACCTACAATCAAAGAGCATTCTGAACCACACAAACAACAGAATTGGGTCAAATTTCCTTCGCTGAACCCCATCACCAACAGAAAATACTTAAGGCCATCCAGTCCAACTCTCTTCACCAGGGCAAGAAAATGTAATCAAAGCCCTCCTGACAAAGAGCCATCCAGCCATAGATAGAGATAGATAGATATGATTCACACACACAGATATAATATCATAGATTTGAAAGGGACCCCTAAAGAAGGACAATGATATATTGCATATTCCAGAGTAGGCAAACTGGACAATCTCCAAATTAACACTGACAAAGAGACAACAAGAAATTCTGTTTATCCACAAGCATGAAGAAATTACATAGAACAGGGAGACACAAAATGGTCAAAGGTCTGGAAACCATGACTCCCTCTGAGAAGCGGATGAGGAAGCTGGGAGTGTTTAGCTTGGAGAAGACTGAGAGAAGGGGACAGGAGAGCCCTGTTTAAATGTTTGAAAAGATGTCCCATTGAGAAGTTGGGGGTTGGTCAAGGCTTGTTTTCTCTGCTCCAGAGACTGGGACACAATGGAGTTGTAGGAGGTTGAAACTGCGGGGAAGTTTTGTGCTCCTACTAACATGTGTCTCCTTCCTTCCTTCCTTCCTCCCTTTCTTCCTTTCCACCTTCCCTCCATCCTTCCTCCTTCTTCCAGACCTGGATGACCCCATTGTGACAGTGCACCAGAGCATTGGGGAGGCGAAGGAGCAGTTCTACTACGAGCGCACGGTCTTCCTCCGCTGCGTGGCCAACTCCAACCCACCCGTGCGGTACAGCTGGCGCAGAGGGCTGGAGGTGCTGCTCCAAGGGTCAGACAAAGGGGTGGAGATCTACGAGCCCTTCTTTACCCAGGTAGGAATCAAGGTACAGTCCTGTTTTATTCTTCTTATTCTTCCCATCATCATCATCATCATTACGTATTATGTCACTGCATAGGATCTCAAGTGGTGGAGGGAGCTAGCCTACTTTCTGGTTTCCTAGATACAGATACCTTCAAATGACAATAAAAGAGATTCCACTTCAACATTAGAAGTTGACTATTAGAAATAGTCAACAGTGAAACACGTCGAGTCGGGATATGCGTGCGATTTGTAGTTCTCCAATCATGCATTCTGTTGCACTCCAGAACAGGGAATAGCCCCTCTGACTATTTATTTATTTGTCATGTCAGGGCAACCAGTCAATTATATTAATTTCTAACAGAACAAAACAAACAAACAGACAAAATACAAAATTTGTGAGTTTGGTGGTTGATTAAATGTCCTTTGACCAGTATCTGACCCCTTGGAGTGCCTCTGGTGATGCTGCAAGAAGGTCCTCCATCGTGCATGTGGCAGGGCTCAGGGTGCATTGCAGCAGGTGGTCAGTGGTTTGCTCTTCTCCACACACACATGTCATGGATTCCACTTTGTGGCCCCATTTCTTGAGGTTGGCTCTGCATCTCGTGGTGCCAGAGCGCAGTCTGTTCAGCGCCTTCCGTCGCTCCGTCTTCTGTGAGTCTCTAATTTGGTATCAGCCATTGGTTGAGGTTCTGGGTTTGAGCCTGCCACTTTTGGACTCTCGCTTGCTGGGGTGTTCCAGCGAGTGTCTCTGTAGATCTAAGAAAACTATTTCTTGATTTAAGTCATTGACATGCTGGCTGATAACAAGGGATGAGCTGGAGATGTCTCTGCCTTGGCCCTTTCACTATTGGCTGCAACTTCCCGGCGGATGTCAGGTGGTGCAATACCAGCTAGACAGTGTAATTTCTCCAGTGGGTTAGGGCACAGACACCCCGTGATAATGTGGCATGTCTCATTAAGAGCCACATCTACTGTTTCAGTGTGGTGCAATGTGTTCCACACTGGGCATGCGTACTCAGCAGCAGAGTAGCATAGCGCAAGGGCAGATGTCTTCACTGTGTCTGGTTGTGATCCCCAGGTTGTGCCAGTCAGCTTTCGTGTGATATTGTTTCTAGCGCCCACTTTTTGCTTGATATTCAGGCAGTTCTTCTTGTAGGTCAGAGCACAGTCCAGAGTGACTCCCAGGCATTTGGGTGCGCTGCAATGCTCCAGTGGGATTACTTCCCAGGTGAGAATCCTCAGAGCTCAGGATGCTTGTCTGTTCTTGAGATGAAAGGCACATGTCTGTGTTTTAGATGGGTTGGGGATCAGCTGGTTTCCCCTGTCATAGGCAGTAAGAGCACCTAGAGCTTTGGAGAGCTTCTGTTCAACCATCTCCAAGCTCCCTGCTTGAGCGGTAATGGCACGATCATCAGCATAGATGAAGCTCTCTGTCCCTTCTGGCAGTGGCTGGTCATTTGTGTAGATGTTGAACACGGATGGAGCAAGCACCCTCTGACATGGGATAGCCATTCATTGAGTCATCAGATCTTGAATATGGATCTATGCACAACACAAGTAGGTGGATTAAATGGCCCTTGTGGTTCCTTCTGATTCTCTCTAATTCTGTGAATCCCTGATAACTTTGAATGGAGGGTAACACCTGTCTCCCTTGATTCCATTTCTGAATTAAGCTGCAATTTAAACAAAGCAAGGTCATGCAAAAACATACATTGCCTATTTTGAACAGAGTTTCTTTGGGAACCAAATGACATATGTTATCCCAAAATAAATGTGTTTTATGACATGTTTTGAGCTAAGAGTTGAAATGCATAATTCGGCTGGTTTTATGTAGTCACTGATTTAAGGTGCTTTGAGACTGTGGAATGGATGCAGTTTGGCCCCAGTGTAACTTCCATGGCTCAGTGCTATGGAGTCCTGGGAGTTGTAGTTTGTTGAGGTGCCAGGGCTCTTTAGCACAAGACCTTGCAAACGTCCCTCCGCCCTGCCTGCCTCCCCATTCATCCCCATTCATCCGTGGCGCGGCTCCTGGGATTGAGCCGTAAGCGCTGCGAAGGAAACAAACGAGACGCCTCTGCGTGTACAGTCAGCAGCCGGGCACAGAACAACTTGCAACTTTCATAGATAATTCTCAACTAATGGCTTGGAAAGGCCGCATCACGTCTTGCCTTTATTACACTTGACAGCTTCATATTGCTCAGAATCGCCGGCGAAAACCTTGCAGGGAAAATAATAGGCCGGCTGGAACGGATGGAGCTGTTTGTTAGACTGCTTCCCATTTGAAGAATAGCATAGGGTCTCCTTCTTCTTCTGTGCAATGGGGCTGGATTTGGGCAACTCCATGGAGTGGATCATGAATATGCCATCACACCTGGGGGCTATAACTCTTAGTAAAAGAGACATAGACGTGACATCTTTCCCCCAAGGGATTGCTTCTTGCCTTCCTTTAGAGAACTGGAACTCCCATGGACCAATACACTGTAGATAACTCAAAATAGGTTTTATTGTTCACAAAGAGTTATCTCTTCCAATAAGCTGGAAGTTCCAAAGGAGGTAAAGGAAATATACATTACAGTCTCTGGTTATCTTGGGCCCACAGAGATTTCGCAGCTGAGAAGCTTTTCCTGTTCCCTCTTTTCTCAATGGCTGTGAAGGTCAGAACAAACACAATCCCCAGTCCAATGGCCTATGTTGAAGGCACAAAGTCTTCCTTTTGATGCCAAAGGACCGGTTTGAAGGCGCTTGGGTCTCCTCAACGTTGTCCAGGGCGATCTGGGCATGAAGTATGAGTCCCAAGGGTAAAAACCTTAGAATTGGTGATGAGAGGTAACTTAATTAAGGGCTTTAGAGCCAAGTCTCTTTCTCACATCTATCTGATAGAAAGGTTGATGGTAGAATGGAGAAGGAAACATTGCCCTGCCCTCTTCCAGGAAGAGGTGGAGCCAAGCAATTGAGCTGAAGAAGCAATACAACTGGTGCAAACAACATTGATTGACAGCTATAAATAACCAATCAATCCAACTATACATTTACAAACTAGGCAAGCTTGGGCATGCCGTACAGTCTAAACCTTTGCACTTCAAAGTTCTACACACAGGTGGCGCCACTCGTGCCGTCACAGTGAAGGTCAATCAACATGATCCAAGGCCTGGAAACCATGAATGTCTTGAAGGAGCGACTGAAGGATCTGGGGATGTTTCATTTGAGAAGAGAAGGTTCAGAGGGAGCCTGAGAACCAGGGTTAAATATCTAAGACTATGTCCCATTGAGGAGGAGAGAAGCCTATTTTTTGCTGTTTTGGAGACCAGGATACAACGGAGCAATGGATTGAAAGTCCAAGAGGAGAGATTCCACCTGAACATTAGAAAGAACTTCCTGATGGCACGAGACATTCAACCATTGGATCTGCTGCTGCTCTGGAGTCTGGCAGAGTCTTCTTCCTTCTCTGGAGGTTTTGAATCAGAAGTTGGATGTATTTGCACTCGTACCTTGGGAAGTCTGATGTGGCCACGGTGGTCTATGCTCTGGAACCCAACGATTCCAGCCATGAAAACCTTTGACAATAGCTTGGCCTCTGTTGCTTGGAGGCATCCTCTGGGAGGTGTTAACTGATACTTGATTGTTTGCTGCCTGGAGTTCCCCAGTTTCATTATTTTTTGTCTTGATTCTGGTGTTTTTAACACTGGTAGCCAGATTTTGTTCATTTTCATGGTTTCCTCCTTTCTGTTGAAATTGTCCACATGTTTCTTGTGGATTTCAATGGCTTCTCTGTGTAGTCTGACATGGTTGTTGTGAGCATCGTCCAGCATTTCTGTGTTCTCAGATAATATGCTGTGCCCAGGTTGGTTCATCGGGTGGTCTGCTATGGTTGACTTCTTTGAGTAATGTATTGTCGAAGGCTTTCATGGCTGGGATCACTGGGTTGTTGTAGGTTTTTCCGGGCTATATGGCCATGTTCTGGAGGCAATTTTTCTCCTGACGTTTCACCTGCATCTATGGCAAGCATCCTCAGACCTCACTACCTCTGAGGATGCTTGCCATAGATGCAGGCGAAATGTCAGGAGAAAAATTGCTTCCAGAACATGGACATATAGCCCGGAAAAACCTACAACAACCCATTCTTTGAGTAAGTCTGCAGTGCCTTTCATGTTCCTTGATTCATGTTTGGGCGCTGTGTTTGGTGGTCCTTATGGAGACTTCTTGTCCACAGTTGCATGGTATAAGGTAGACTCCTGCAGAGGTGAGAAGATGCCTCTTGTCCTTTGCTGAATGGAGCATTGGTTGGATTTTCTGTAGGTTGTTTATAGGTTATGTTTCTTCCTCAGCTTTCCTATGTGGTCAGTGGTTCCCTTCATGTATAGCAAGAGCTCTTATGGTCTAAGCATAAAGATATGATGTTCTTAAATGCAGTTCACATGTCCTTGTCTTATGGAAAGATGAGTAGTGTGTTGTATCATTTTCAAGCCAGGCACCACTTTGATAAAATAATGAAGAGTAGAGACATCACACTGGCAACAAAGATCCGCATAGTCAAAGCAATGGTATTCCCCGTAGTCACCTTCAGATGCGAGAGCTGGACCAGAAGGAAGACTGAGTGAAGGAAGAGAGGCGCTTTTGAACTGTGACGCAGGTAGAAAGTTCTGAGAGTGCCTTGGAACGCGAGAAGATCCAACCAGGCCATACTTTAGGAAATAAAAGCCCAAATGTGCATTGGAGGGAAGGATAGTAGAGGCCAAGATGAAGTCCTTTGGCCACGTCATGAGAAGATGATGTGGCCAAGCATCCCGAGCTCTGAGGATCACCTGGGAAGGAAGGAATCCCACTGGAACATTGCAGCGCACCCAAATACCTGGGATTCACTCTGGACCGTGCTCTGACCTACAAGAAGCACTGCCTGAATATCAAGCAAAAAGTGGGTGCTAGAAACAATATCATACGAAAGCTGACTGGCACAACCTGGGGATCACAACCAGACACAGTGAAGACATCTGCCCTTGCGCTATGCTACTCTGCTGCTGAGTA